TATTAAAAGTTAATGTGTCAAAGATGGTAGTGGTTTGAATCCCCTCAATGTCATCACAGAGCTTGATTTCTAGAGATGTACTATACAGAGAATATCGATCGTTGGAGATAAACAACTTTTTAAATAGCATTTAAATTTATTTAGAAATTAATTTTATGACAGCTGGTTGTGTGGATATCTTCAAAGACCCCAAAAAGAAAAAACAGTTAATTATTAAATGAGGTTATTTCAGGAAAGAATTATTAAATGAGTATTTATTGAATATAACTACTTTAAATGCATTTTTTTATTGTTGAAAATTGCTTATTTGTCTTTCGTAGAAAAGACATGAGAGGGCATGCTTTATTTCTTTTTGACGGCTATTTCATAGTCAACCAATCATTCATTTGATCCAATGTATTGTCCGTGTTTTTTTTTTTCTTTTTTTTTTTAAATAAAAATCCAAAGTAGCGGTGTTCCGTAGAACTCCCTGGGTGGCGGATGGCTGCATGCATTGAGACGTTATGCAACTGTTGGTGATTAAGAAGTGTACAATTTGTTATCATGTAACTTTGCAAAATCATGTCTCAATATGCTCCCATCATTTTTATATATATAAAAAAAATCATATCACTCAATTTAAAAAAAATTAATTAACTATAATAATTATATTTAAAAATAAAAAATTAAATTAAAATATTCTATATTAATCAATATAAACATGTATTAATTATTTTTTATTAATATAAATTATGATAGATGATTTAGAAAAAGTAAAATAAATACTTATTAAAATGTATCATTTTTTATATAAAAAAATAAAAAATAATAGTTTTTCTTACAAATAAAAATAGAATAATAAAAAATAATAATTTAGATTTTCAATCATCACCCAGCCCTTTCAAAATTTTCCATTCAAGAATTTTTTTTATCTTCAATATATATAAATTCAGTGATCGGTAAAGTGTAAGGAATAGAAAGTTATGGGTTCAACAAAAATAGGGCTATGAAGTTCTGATCAACCGTTGATTGAATGGGAAATTCCGTTTAAAACAAAGCTCGTGAAATATTGCCACTCAAGGCCAAGTCTCTTTGTTACATGGGGAGACCGGTGGTATGTGGAGGGTGTGACCTGAGGAGAGATCTGAGAGTTTATTCTTCTTGAATCTTGATACATTTAAAAAAAAAAACTCATGAAATATTATATTATAGTTTTAAAAAAGATGAGAATGAAATAGAATAAAAACATAAAGGAAACAAATAAAAAGATCAAAACGTGGATTAGGGATATATCAGCCATGTATATGAAAGGTGTGATAATTTAGTTTATGAAATTAAGAATAATAATTTATGAAATTTGTAAAAAGTATGATTATTTTTACATTTATAGTATGTAATGTTGAGTTTTATCATGCTTATCATGATATGTGAGTAATTTAGCTTACTTTTCTGTTTTTAAATTTATTTTATTCCCATCATTTTTAATAATCAAATGGAACCTATATTTATTATATTTAAATTTTTTTACCTTGCCAAATATGAAATCATCAGATTAAAAACTTTTATCACTTGTTTGGCTTCTCTTGCAAGTTGCAAGCAGGCTTTTCCAGATTCGAAGACAGGTTTATTCTAACATTACTGTGGTCCAAACCATGTTTTAACTAACAGTAACGATAATAGTGACAACAACAACAACAACAACAAGCCTTTATCCCATTAGGTGGGGTCGGCTACATGGATTGCAAGACGCCATTGTGCTCTATCATTTATTAAGCTTTAGTAACGATAATAGTGAGTTCTGATTAAAAAAATACTACAATAATGAGTTCTAAAACTACAAGTCATGGACTCCAAAAGCAAAATCATAAGATTTCCAACTTGTCAACCTGCCCTATTTTATTTTATTTTTGGGTAGGAAAGATTAATGAATGCAGGAATATTGTACTTTTTCATGGGACGGAGAATAAATATTACAGCTGCGTTGAGTACAGCACTTAGACGGTCGAAGGATATATGTGTGTATGTATATGCGGACAGTGGAATGTGCCACTTCAAATGAATTGTGAAACCTAGGTTAAAAAAAAAATGATGAAAACACACCAATGATATGACAAATAAAACTGTTCAAAGAGCTGTCCCATGGCCCTAATTGGAAAAATTATAGTTAAAACCTCAACCTGGTTGTCTCAACCTAGACGCGTAGAAGAAATATATTTTAACATGTTGGGTTATTTAAATGTAAGTGAGTTTGAGCTAATATAAAAAAATCTAGCATCAAATAAAGTTAAACTGATAACTAATATATAATTAAAAAAAATCTATAAGCTTGATTTTTTAAATTTTAAGTTGAGATAAACTCTGAATATTTATAATAGTATTTTATTTTCATAAAATATTATGAAAAAGTAATGTAAACTATTAGATCAAGTTGATTTTTACCATTCATTAAAAAGGTGAGAGATTCATGAAAGTCTCACCCACCACCCATAACCAACAAATAATTAATAAAAAATACATTTTTTCATCTAAGTTCTTTGTTATCTTTTTTGTGTTCTAACTAGAGTTTGGCTAGTTTAGCCAAAATTAAGAAAGTCGGTACAATTTAAAAAAGAGAATCCAATATTATGACAGGTCACTTCCTATTCCTAACATAATCCTTATCATGCAGATAACGTTAAGAATGTATGTTGATGTATCAAATTCAAGTACGAGCCTCCAAATAATAACACCGCAATAAAAATTTCATGGAATCATTTAATAATAATTTTTTTTATATGAGATTAGCTATAATTTTTTTAAATTTGAAAAAATTACATCTATGTCTCATTTTAAAAAAAATTATCATTAAGAGGTTTTATAAAATTCATAAAATATTCATAAATTTTAAATTTTATACATTTATAACTTAACCAAGGGTCCATGTGTAGAAATTAAAACTTGTGAGTGTTTTGTGAATTTCATCAAGTTTTTTGATAATAGATTTTTTTATATGAGATTTGGATATAATTTTTTTAAATATTTAATAGGAGCGAAAACGATTAACTTATCGAAATTGAATGCTTAGTTAGTAGCAACGAAACAAGTCATAAGGGGACAGCTTGCCTAATGACGAGCGCATATTTTGATTTTGTGATGCGGGGGATTTGGATATCGACGGGAACTGGGATTGAAATGGAAATATAATAAAGGTGGACAATCCTGGGGGCAGCGCGGCACTGGGGAATCTCCCCAGTCGAGCAACTTTTCCAAGTCATGAAAACGTGAATGGACTTATGACTGAATTGAGGATCCACCAGCCAACTTTGTCTTTTCCTTCATTCCTTGGACCCTTTTCCTTATCGCCATTTATTTGTCCCCTTTCTTCCCCTTCACTGCTCTTCATTCATCAACTTGAGACATTGCTTTTTATTTGAAGGGCCCCCCTCCTAAAGCAAACTTGCATCCTTCACCGCTCGTTTCCTCCGTGAATTTCATCTTTCTTTTTTATTTTCTCGGTGAATATTATATTATAGAATCTCTGAGTACCAGGTGGCGCAAATTGGATAAGCTTTAAGATATTTTAGGTTACAGTGGATAAGGGCTGCCGTGTCAGCCTCAACAGTCAGCATCACATCTGATCAGATCTCCTTTCAGATAAGCTCCGATCATGACTTCCGATTTTTATATATAATTCGATAGATTGATGCGATCGGGAAAAGTAAAACGGGAATATTAAAAATTAATAAAAGATGAATATTAAAATTGATAATTATGTGAAAAAATAGTATTTGGAAGGCATGCAATAAAATTGTCTATATAATTATAAATTCATAGCTACAACATAAAAGTATAATTATATTTTTTATTTCTTGTGCATTGAAGATGATTTTAGTGTGTAAAAAATAAAAATAAATAACAATTTTTTTACATCAAATGTAAACAATTCATTATTTAAAATTTAAAAACTTGTTACTTCTCATATTAAAATATATAGAAAATTTATTGTTTTATGATGTATTATCATCACATTTTTCTATAATATTTCACCTGTACAAATTAAAATATAGATAATAATTTGTTAAAAGATGTTTTTTAAAAAGTTATCATATTCAATTGTTACAACAAAATATATTTTAATTCATTTCAAAATTTATTCCAACAAAATTTCCTTGTTATAATAAAATTTTATGAAAATATAAAGAATTAAAGATTCGGGTGGAGCACTTTACTCGCGGCTTTTACAATATATGAAGAATGAAGGTGAAGATTGTTCCCTTTTATTACACTGCTTTTTAAAGTTATTGCATTCAGATTAAAAATTAAAAATATAATAAATATATAAAACTATGGTCCTCTTCCTTTCTTGCGAAGGAATATTGCTTATCAATACTTCTTCGCTGTTTACCAAGTAGTTAATGTCATTCCTTGCGTTGAAAACACCAATTTATGACCATTGAATTATCCCATGGAAGGTGGTTCGATTCTCGGCTCATTCTACGCTGCTCGGAGATGTCTGCACCATCTTTCTTTGTTCCCCTTCATTCCTCCTAGCTCGCATGCACAATATGAAAGTTTCAGTTGTGATAAGTTTAATTACTAGCACTGACAAGTACTATTATAATGAGCTTGATCACACACACACACACACACACACACACACACACACACACACATTAGTATATTTTTCTGCGACGACTGTACGCTCCGTCTCATTGAGCTTAGGGACAGATCGATACACGAAGATGAGGCACGAAAGCCATGGATAAACAGCTTATAAAATTGGAACCCCAGGAGGCTCAGACCGAGTAAAACTGTATCAGAATCCGAGCTTAAAGACAAACACCGACTTTTTTCTCAGAAGAAGACGATTTATGTGACGCCAATATAGGCACCATGTGCCCAAAACTGAGACCACTCTCCTTTGTTTCGAGGAGTTGCTATCCTCCCACATATGCTTCATGATACAATGAACCCAAACAAATCCAACACCATTTTATCCGACAGATTTTCTTCTGAGATTATTAATTTCCCCACCACCGACATAATTCAAAAAAATTATTCATCTGCAAGAAAATACATTTCGTCACCGACAATTGACATGAACATATGGACATACAAAAGTTACACGGTAAATTGATTTCACATATTTGGCAGCAATAAGAAATCAATTGCACAGAGAAAATGTTCCAAAAAATCACGAAACCAAAAAATAAAAAAGAGTCTCTGCTCGACTTCCATCTCAGCTATACACAGGAAATTTTATGATAATGAATACAAATCTTTCCAGGTCAGAACACTCCAGAAAACTGCGCGTTGCTCCTCCCGAATGAGTTCTCCTTACAGAGCCTAGCGTACATTTTGGCTCTAAGTTCTCTTCCAGATTCGACCCTTTCCATGGCGGGTTCTTCTTGGCAGCTTTGATCCCACTTGTCCACGGTGCTAAGCCCAGATCTCGTTATTGTCCGAGTCGTAGTCGATGCGGGGCTAAAACACCCAGGTCGGAGATTCGAACCACGGGGCGAACCAAGCACCAAACCCGTATGGATCCCGTGAGGTGAACCGAACCCATCGCGCATGAAGAGAACACGAGTTGGAGGCGGCTTATCACTTTGAACATTACGCATGGAGCCGCTTACTTCAATCCCGCCGTGTCGGGGATTTCGGGGCGATGTGGGTGGGGACTCGGCTAATGAAGAGATCGGCGACGGTTGGAGTACAGATGTCGGCGATGAAACGAAGGAAGCGTGACAAATCGGCGATCCCTCCAATGATTCGCCCGACCCGTTAGCGAGGAACCGCAACTGTTCAGGAGTATGAGCGAAGAAGCACACCCGGCGGCGACAATTTGTTCCGTCCTTGCAGAACTGGGTCCTGTAGCGAGAGGGGTGGAGCCAGCATTCAAACACCCCATGAGAAAACTCGCACGAGTCACCTTTCTTGCAGTTACCTTTGCGAAACTCGGGACATGCGGTGCCGGAGTAGTGATATTTCCGAGGATCTCTCCGGCGAGCCTTCTCGCTGGGGTGGGCGTACGGACACTCCGTCCAGTCATGTGACCGGGAACGCGCGCATTTGCGGATCTTAAACTCGAAGATGCGGAACTGATCGCTGGAAAAAGCGTCAAAAGAAGCGTCAAAATCTTCGCAGAGCGAATCCAGATCAATGGGAGTGAGACCACTTTCATTGGAAAGGAAAGGGTGGAGGGCGGGCGAGGAATCGATGGAAGGTGGATAATCGCAGCCAGCGGTATTGCCATTTATGTTGGTAGCCAAACCATCGATGGGCAATGCTATGGTTGAACCATCGAGCGACTTCGAATGAGAAGTCTGAAAGTTCGGGGCCAAACAAGCTAGTTCTCCGATCACCATTTTTTGAGGGGCAATATTCCGAGCTGGGACTCTTTGGATGAAAGATTGCAGAAGGTAGGTGTCAGGAATATAAACTGCAGCGGGGGGAAGAAGACGTGAGCGGAGTTTGTTTAACCGAGGTTAAGTTCAACTGTGGTTTAAAAATATCTTATCCCCTCCCTAGCTTCTTCTTCCTTTTATTTCTTTGTTTTTAACTTTTTTCTTTTTTTAGTGGAGTCCCTAGACTGTTCTCCTAAATAGAGTTAACAAATAAATGTTAAATTAATAATTTAATATGTTGGCTGCTTATTTATTTATATTTTTTTTTGTTTTGTAGAAATACGCATTACATGAATTTATATATCGAGATGGGTTGTAAATATTAAATAACGTAGGAAATTTGTACATCATTCCCCCTGCTTTCTATTAGATCGTTGGGGGATTCTTTGTTTTAACTTCAAAATTACATGGTCAATGAATTTTCATTGCCTTTTTAAAGTTGTCCCCCATATGGGTTTACATAGGGGTTTCTGCTTTCTACATCTCATTTCCTGTCTTTATCTTTTTCCCGTAGATCTCTTCTGGAAATGATTTGGCTAGCCACTAATCTACTATCTTCAGTATTACGCATATAAATATAATTAGACACGTATAGAGTTTAGAGGGAGTAAGTTGTAATATTTATATCTTACAAATATTTATTTCTGTAGATTTGATTAATACTGGTACATTATCACTGGTAAACAAAGAAGATTGATATATTGAATAATGAAATGATATTTTTATTAATTAAAAAGAAACCTAAACTTTAAACAACACATTCATCCATATTGGTTGAGTTCAACAGGATTGGATTTTTCTTTTCCATAAGGGAGATGGTGAATGTAAATTTGGAAGAAGAGTGATAGAAGAGTTTGGTCGTGTAAATGCTCATATATCTATCTAATTTTGTGTTGTTAAAATGTGATTTTCTTATTTGAAATAGCATGATCTCTTGTAGAAAAGATGCACATGGACAGTAAACAAAATGATTACCTTGCTCTCTCTCTCTTTGAATTAATTTTATTTTAATGCTAATTGATGGGCTATGACAATATACCCTATGGGCTTATAGGGCACTTTTTTTTTATTAATTGTGTTTGAACTTTAATTGAATATAATTAATTATAAAAAAATTAATTAATATAATAAATTTTAATTATAATTAATTATGTTACAAGGCGATATATTTGAGTAATATTTTTTAAAATTAATTTTAATGAAATTCAAGATACTTGAATGACTTATTTAAAATCAAATTCAAATGCACAAATTATTACAAAAGACATTGTTTTTTAAAATGTAAATGTTGATAAAATTGTATATAATATTTTTAAGTTTGTTGAACTTTATTTAATAAATAAAATATGTTAATGTTAATTTCAACAACAACAATAATATAATTTTTGTGAATTTATTGGTAAACAATATATGCAAAATAAAATGTAGCTTAACCCATCAATAATAATATGAAAGCTGGAGAAAGGCATGAAACCAAAGTACTGAAAACCGAACCGGTCATTGAACCGGCCAAACTCAAGGGTCAGGAGTCATGGGTTCAACTGGGGGTCAAACCGGAGTCAGACCGATCATAATAAAATAATATAATTTAAATAAAAAATGTATTAATTCTCAATACATTCATACATATCCAAGTTTTAATATCTCATATAACATATAACAATAATTCTAACAATAATAAAGCATAACAACATTTTATATTTTTTAAAATAAGGTTAACTAAATGATAAAAAAATTTCAATGAGTTAAAATAATAGAAATAAAAATTTATTTTAAAATAAAAGTGATATATTTTAAAAATTATTTAATTAAATAATTCAAATTAAAAAATAATATAATATAATATGTATTTATACTTTTTGATTTCTTTTTGCTCCTTCTGTCCCCCATCTGACATAAGTATGATTTTTTTTACCCTATAACTCCTATTGACCTATCATTAATCATTATCATGTCAAAAATAAATATACATCTTGATTAATCATTATCAATTTTTTTTAATTTCAACCCGCCCAACCCTCCTGAACCAAGGGGTTGGGCGGGTTAATCCCGATTAACCCGGGTTAACTTAAATCACAATAAAAAGAAAAACCGGACCGGACACATAGCCGGGTCACCGATTCACCGATCAAACCGGCCGGTTCGGTCTGTTTTAAAAACAATGCATGAAACCCACCACCATCCAGGGATGCGACGTGGTGGTAGATTATAACACACACTCCCATCAGAATAAGTATATATTTTTTTAAAGAAAAAATAAACAACGGCAAAAGACAAGCAACCAAAGATGGGAGACAATCATATCAAAGTAGAGAGGTAATGGAGTCACTGATATGATCAGATTGAAGAAGAGAGATGACAAATTTGTTGATATGAGCACATGAGAGCAAATTAGAGGACGACATAGATGGTTGGAGGATGAGGGGGAGATGAGAGGGGATCTAAATCTCACAAGAGATGGGAGAGGTAAGTCGATCGCTAGGGTGACACGTTATTGTATCTCCGTCATTAAACAAATCTTCATAAATTGAAATTCATGAATTTTTATAAAACTATGCTATTTTTTTTAAATATATACTCATTTTGTTTAAAAAATATTTTTAAATTAAATTTCATTCATAATAAAATAGATATTTATCTTTAAACTAACATTATTTTTTTATTTTACTTTATTTAACAAAACATTTCACTTTAAAGTAAATATACCATTATTTATTTATTATGAGTACTAAAAAAATATAATAATTACATTTTAAAATATGAAAAATACTTTACAGCTTTTAACATGGGGAGTAAATTATTTTTAATTATATTCAATGACTTATAATTATCTTTAGCTTATTGCTATTTTTTATGTTTATCTTTATTTAATAGGTGTTCTATTTAAAAATGAAGGGTCAGGTTATTTATTTATTAAGGGTATTTCTGAAAAACCATTAATTACATATTGAAAAATGTAAAATGCATTATATTTTTAATATTTAACTTAAATATAAGATATTTTTTTAATCAACACACGTATTAATGTTATTATTTTATAAAACATGCATTTTTTTCTATTCTGAAATAATAAACTTTGTAAAATTTACGGATTTGAAGTCTTAGCTTTAGAGTTTTCCTTTCAAATTACTGTGTGCCGTGCAGAGACCTCTCTTTTAATTTGTCCTCGGAGTAGCAAGCTCACCCGCATGAATGTTTATTAATAAAATTTAACAATATTTAACCAAAATACCCCCCCCCTCTCTCTCTCACGCATTAAATTTCTTCATTTATAATGCTCCACTTAATTTTTGCAATCTACCTTTTGTTTAAAAAAAATTGCAATCTACCATACTCATAGGCTGTCAATAATGCACCCAGTATCGTACTCTAAAGCAATTTAATAAATTTAATAAAATTTAGAGTTTATTCAATTTTAGGCCTAAAAAAAATTGTGATTGGCACGTTATAGCGAGGTCTAAATGTTAAAAAAGCGGTTCAAGGTTGTGAAGCTGGCGGATTTAAGTAAACCCACGAGTCATGATGGGAATATAAATTTAAATTATAAATTTAAATCATAAATTTGCTAGAGTTTATGTTAATTAATAAATAATCATTAAAAATATATGATTAAATAATTAAAATATAAAATATGATTATAATTTGATTTAACTATATTTCAAATATAAATAATGCAATTTATTTTTGATTTTTTTTATTAGTATTAGTTTTTTTAGTTTTTTTTTTTTGAATTGGGTGCTACCGCTTTTATAAATTAAATTCTACACAATATACTCTCAACTTGTTCAAGCTAATTAAAAAAACTTTGACAAGTTTAATCAATTTTTTATTTAATTTAAATTTATTAGTATATTAATATAATTTTATAAGTTAGAAATATGAAAACAGTAAATTTGTGAGTTCAAAAATAATAGGTAAATTAATTTTTTTTTAACTTCCGTAGGCATCAACTATCGGTGAAAATTCAAATCTTAGTCCGTTAGGATACGAGGCACTGGCTTTTTTTTTTTTTTTTAACTAGACCCAACTTCCTCTTATTGCAATGGTTAAATTAATCTCAAATAAATACTTTGCAACTAAATCAAATAAAACATTGAACCTCGTCCATGGTACTTTGCGTAGAAGGCCAATTCCTCAGCCGAAAAAAAATAGAGAGAGAGAGAGAGAGCCAGGTATACAAGCCATTTAGCCCAATAAATGAAGGCTAACAGTATTCGGAGAAAAGACCAATTTCAGGTCTTCCATTCTGGTTAAAATAAGACAAAGAACCAATGGCGCCCAATCAACTTGAAAAGGATTATGATCGGCATTTTTTAGGGTAAGTATTCGAATATTAAAGAGTAAGAAACGCAATAATTAATGTGATCTTAAAAAGATTATTTCATTCATACCTTACTATCATTATAAAATTTTCTGGGTTAATTTGAGGCAGATAATAAATTTAAAATATTTTAAAATACTGAATGATTTATACCAACAAAAAAAAAAAAGGCAAGAAGCCTTTCATCGACTTGGTCTGGGCCTCAATCGATCGTTGAATCGAAGGGTCAGGCAAGAAGACGGGAGGAGGATGCAAGACAAAAGAATAAGAATAATAATAATAAAAAAAATTTTTTTAAAAAAAAAAACGACTGTCGTCCCGGATTGTTCCCGAGTCTTGACAGAGACTCAAAAGAGTGAGAATGAGCTTTGTGTTTGGCTGTTTGCCCTTTCCAAATTGCAGTGTCTGTAGCGCGGGAAGGAACCTTGGAATGGAACGGTTTTGCGTTCACCCAAAGACAGGAATAGTTATCTGTAGGTCAGATTCGCTCTTTACTTTCTACATACTTCACTCTCTTCCCAAGGTGAAATTATCTGTTCAATTCGATGCATAGAGAGATTCCTCTCTTGCTTCAATCTACGTGTATATATCCATGCAATGCCTTCTGTAACCATAGAAATAATCGATTTCGATCTAGTGCGGGTTGTTTCTTTACGCTTAAGTGGACTTCCTTAATTAGAACCTCTCTCTTCCCCTCCACGGATCAGCTTGTCCTGTAGAATGACAAGGGGTCTTAAGTTCGGCTGCGCCATGATTATTCAAGTTTGTCATTGGGGAATAATTATGGTTGATCACCGTAAGTTTTAGGAAGCCCCATTGGGCGCAGAACGGCATTTTTGGTTGAGCCCCCCTTCAAAGGAATTCTTTATATAAAACTATACGTACTGGTTTCATATTTTCAATTCACTCTTGATTGATCTCAATTGCATTATTTAGCAATTTTCATTTGCAAAATATGTGGCCGCTCTGAAGTTTAGTATTGGCGAGATTTAAAGACGATGATTGACCGTCGTTGTATCTAAAATCTGGAAGCTTAAGAGTTTGGATTGGTGAGAGTCCTTTAATTTCAGGGCTCCATCAGATGTCTGCAATTCGACTTCGTATTATATATGTAGGGTGATCTATTATCAAATATCTAGTTTTTGTATGTACGTATAGAAAACCCTGGTTCACCTAACTCTGGAAAAATCCATCTTCGTTTATCTTGAAATTGAAGTATGGTACAAATGGGTTGGAGATTATTTTAAGATTAAGAATCATAAACATCCTTGACCTTTGAGCCTTAGGCTTCCATTCCAATTCAAGCATTACTTATCTGCAAGACAAAGCGAAAGATTACAGAAAGACTGGAGCACTCTGAGAAGGAAAAGCAGCAAAATAAATATTTTTCGGGGGATTCTAGAAATGTTTAATTGGTTCTACAATTAATTTGATCCCGCAGTCTTGGATAAATCGCACAAAGAACAGGTAGGATCGAAAGCAAACGGCTTTCCCAACTGGAGTTTCTCTTATTGGTTGGTTTGTTGGCCCCGCACTTTTCCGTAGCCTTCACTTGCAATTTTGCTGGGCAATTCATGTATATAATGAAGAGGTTCTCTGCCTGCTTCTTCACAAGCAGAGCCTCCAAATCCCACCGTCACCTCAACAGCAGTCATCCTCAGGTGTTTTCCTCGTTTTCCCGCCCTTTCATTCTCTATGAGCTGACTTAACTCTTTGTTTTCGTTTAGTGGATCATATTACTCGCTTGTTGAATTGATTGACCATTTGGTATTTTGCTCATTGAAGCTCTTCTCGTTGATTGTTGAATTGGCTTAGAGGACCGGAGAAGCTATGGAAACCATCCAAAAGAACAATCCTGGAAGCGACTCAAAGGTATGGGCTTTTTTGTCACTCGTTATTGTACGATGTTTTAGACTCTTGTTTTGGTTTTCCGGAGGTTTCTCGTTCATTTTTCAAAAGAGTCCTGCATTAACCACAACGACTGCACCACATTGTTTATGACTTATTTTTACTCTCATAGACATTGGCAAGGCATGATGCATGATTTATTTAGTGACCTCGAAGTGGATGGAACCTGAGGTCATATGCATTCATATCTTAAAGTTTGCTCTAACCGTGTCTAAGGTTATGGTTACCCCCCCCCCCTTTTTGTTTTTGATTTTTTTTTCTTTTGTTTTTGTCTTGAGTCTAGCTGCATCTGATCCCTATTTATAAAATGTGCTGTGTATAATTGTTCCGAGCCGTCAAGACATGTTGACAGTTACTAACACTGAACTATAGATGGTAGAAGTCGCACGTCAAAAATAAGACAATAATTCAAGGGGATTCTTGCAATCTGTCTTCTGGAAAAGTAAAATTTAGTCACCTGAATGTCTTTGATGTCCACCCATCAATCTTATTTGATGATTTATTCATTTCCTTCTGCTTCTTTTTCACTCTTTATGGAAGGTGGTAAAGGGAATTTGACCCAGTTGTTAAGTACACGTATTTGAATATGCCCAAAACTGTATCAATTAGACATTAATGTATTCCTTGATTTTTGGTTCTAATTGTTTTTAAATTTTGCATTATTTGAAAGATCATGAAAGGAAATGCTTCTTGTCCAAGTGAGAGGAGGTCTACTAATATCATATTAAACCATGACTTCTCTGGAGGGCTGGAGTCATGGCATCCGAATTGCTGCCATGGCTATGTAGTTTCAGCTAAATCAGGTTCTCAAGGAAGAATGTTGGTGGAGTCAGATGGTAATTATGCTGTTGTCACTAGCCGTAAGGAATGCTGGCAAGGTCTGGAACAAGATATCACAGGCAAAATTTCCGTTGGCTCCACTTACAAAGTTTCAGCTTGTGTTGGAGTATCTGGGCTTCCTCAGGCAAATACTGATGTTCTAGCAACTCTTAAACTGCAATATCAAGATTCAGCTACTAGTTACTTGTTCATTGGGAGGTACTGAATTTTATAATTTTGTGGCATATCTTTCACTCCTGAGAGATAGAAACATATTTTCAAGATTATTGCTTTCTTCAGGACGTCAGTAACAGAGGCCAGCTGGGCAAGGCTAGAAGGGACATTTTCCTTGCCAACTATTCCTGAACGGATTATATTTTATCTAGAAGGACCTGCTTCTGGAGTTGACCTGCTTATAAAATCAGTAGAGATCACCTGTTCCAGTCCCAACGAGTATAACGTAATTGTATACTTTTAACACTTACTTCTATTTGCAATTCTAATCCAAGCATTTTAATTAAAGTCTGATATCCGTACTTTAAAGTATATTACTTTAGTATCTATATATTAATAACTCACTAACATGAGACATTCATATCTATTTTGGAAGTCTGCATGCATTAAATGTGATTCTACTGGAGATGACAACATCATAATAAACCCGACATTTGATGATGGCCTGAATAATTGGTCTGGAAGAGGCTGCAAGATTGCTTTGCATAACTCCATGGCAGATGGAAAGATCCTCCCCAAAATTGGGAAGTATTTTGCATCAGCAACGGAACGCACACAAAGTTGGAATGGGATTCAACAAGAGATCACTGGAAAAGTACAGCGTAAGCTTGCCTATGAGGTCACTGCTTTAGTTCGGATATATGGTAACAATGTCACCTCTGCCAATGTACGGGCTACCTTGTGGGTCCAAACACCAGATCTTCGAGAGCAATATATAGGCATTGCCAAGTAAGTGTCTTTTCTATTTATTATTTTCATAAGATGATACTACTGTTTTCACATACTATCAAGGATATCACATTCCTGGCAAGTATTAAAGAAAGGGAAAAAAAAGGATCATTCTTGGTAAGCTGAAGGAAAAAAAGAAAGAAAATTTGTGTAGTATGGCCAGGTTCTTCAAAAACAAAAAGGGTTCATGAATTTGATGTGCAGTTGATTGTTGATGTTAGAATTCTCAGCCCTTGACATTTCTTAATTGCTGAACAAATCTATTTATATACTAAAGTGGGCAGGCTACAGACAAAGATTGGGTTCAAATGCAAGGCAAGTTCCTTTTAAACGGTTCACCATCAAAGGTAGTAGTTTATTTAGAAGGTCCTCCTCCTGGCACAGACATACTTGTCAATACTTTGGTTTTGAAGCATGCAGCTAAAGCACCTCCCTCAACACCACCAGATTTTAAGGTGCAGAAAACTGCTTTGCTAATAATATAGCTTGCAATTCTTATAATTTTGTTTTGTGCATCTGTTTTGAAGATTGTGAATTTTGCCATTAGGTAAAATAAATGTGAGGTCAAATGCATGTATTTCATGCTCCTAACTAAATAATTGTTTTGTTTCGAAGAATGCTGCTTTTGGAGTTAATGTGATTGAGAACAGCAATTTGACTGATGGTACCAACGGATGGTTTCCCCTTGGCAATTGTACTTTAAGTATTGGAACTGGTTCTCCGCATCTTATTCCTCCAATGGCAAGAGACTCCCTTGGTCTTCATGAACCACTGAGTGGACGCTACATACTTGTGACCAATCGCACGCAAACATGGATGGGTCCTGCTCAGATGATCACTGAAAAATTAAAACTTTTCTTGACTTACCAAGTATCTGCTTGGGTTCGCATTGGCTCAGGATCAACTGGTCCACAAAATGTTAATGTTGCCCTTGGTGTTGACAGCCAGTGGGTCAATGGGGGACAAGTTGAGGTCTCTGATGATAAATGGTATGAAATTGGTGGGTCCTTCAGAATTGAGAAGCAACCGTCGAAAGTTATGGTTTATATCCAAGGTCCTGCTTCTGGAGTAGACTTAATGGTTGCTGGACTTCAAATCTTCCCAGTTGATAGACAAACAAGGTTTAGATATTTAAAGAAGCAGGCAGACAAGGTAATATCTAGCTTTGATTTTAATCTCATAATTATTTTTACTTGAAAACCACATCTTCATTCAGAGACAAAAAATTTTTATATGTCTGCGGTTAAGCTGGTTTGAACGAGTAACATAAAAGTAATACCCCAATCCTTCAAGAGCTATTTGTTTTGCTTTTTTTCGTCAGTCTTGACTCATGATTTTGATCCAGTAGCATACTCTCTGCTCTCTCATCTGGAACATTGTATGGTACTGAAAACATTATAAGATCTGGCACCTAACACGTCTTGGAAAACCCTTTCTTTTTGTAACGTGAATAAGATACTAAAAAGCATGATTCTTTGCATGAAATGTTAATGCCTAACTATTTTGTTACTCTATTCTTTATTTTCAACTTTCAATCATTTTTAAATACCTCCATTGTCTTTTGAAATATTTCTGGTTCGATGACCTGCAGATCCGCAAGCGAGATGTTATTCTAAAATTCTCAGGACTGGGCTCAGGAAGCAATCTTGGAACCTTAGTGAAAGTTAGACAAATACAGAATAGCTTTCCTATTGGATCATGTATCAACAGAACAAATGTTGACAATGAAGATTTTGTTGACTTCTTTGTGAAACATTTTAATTGGGCTGTATTTGGGAATGAGTTGAAGTGGTATTGGACAGAGCCGCAACAAGGAAATTTGAACTATAAGGATGCCGATGATATGCTAGCATTGTGTCAAAAGTACAACATAGAAACTCGTGGACATTGTATCTTCTGGGAAGTAGATGGCACAGTTCAGCAGTGGATTAAATCATTGAGTAAAGCTGATTTGATGAAGGCTGTCCAAGATCGGTTGACAGGTCTTCTAACTCGCTACAAGGGCAAATTCAAGCATTACGATGTGAATAATGAAATGATGCATGGTTCATTTTATCAAGACAGACTAGGCAAAGACATCAGGGCAAGCATGTTCAAGAATGCGCATCAATTAGATCCATCTGCTACCCTGTTTGTAAATGATTATCATGTTGAAGATGGATGCGATACCAGATCATATCCTGAAAAATACATTCAACATGTTATTGACCTGCAAAAGCAAGGTGCACCTGTTGGAGGAATCGGTATTCAAGGTCACATAGACAGTCCTGTGGGACCTATTGTTTGTTCAGCCCTAAATAAATTGGGTGTTCTTGGTCTACCAATCTGGTTTACAGAGCTCGATGTGTCGTCAACTAATGAATATGTGAGAGCAGATGATTTGGAAGTGATGATGAGGGAGGCATTTGCTCACCCTTCCGTAGATGGTATAATGCTGTGGGGATTCTGGGAACTGTTTATGAGCAGGAACAATTCACACTTGGTGGATGCAGAAGGGGAGGTCAATGAAGCTGGGAAACGATTCCTTGCTCTGAAGCAAGAGTGGTTGTCTCACAGTCATGGGCATGTTGATGAGGAGGGGCAGTATGGTTTCAGAGGCTTCCATGGAACATACATCGTGGAGGTGTACACCCCATCAAGGAAGATTTCCAAGACAATTGTTGTTGACGAGGGTGATTCTCCCCTGGTGGTATCCATCGATTTAAAAGGATCTTGCTTCGCCTAGTGACAAGTATTTCTTCGTTGTTATGTTGTGTGTTGATGATTCGACAGTTTTTTTTTTTTTGTTGATATACATAAAGTTCGTGATGTCATGTCATGTTTGCTTGGATGTACTGTTCTTTGATTATAAAATAAAATGTGTTTATTCGGGTTGTGATGGTTAAATTAAGGGAAAATGACAGATGGGTTCTAAAGGGTCCATTTAATTACAGTAAAGTTATATGAAATTCTGGAATACTAGCAAAGTCCCATAGGTCTTTAGGTGATGATATGGTAAAATGCCCTTGTTCACTAATTCACAAAATTTCAGCATTTGGCCTACCGGTTGAAAACGCAGAGAACACCATCAACCCCACCGCACAAAATGATGGGGATAGGGAGAATGCCAAGAAAAGCAAAGAACGTCGAGTATATCAAAGTACTCCTAGTTCTTACTCGTCAGTTTGCACTTCTGGTTTTTTTTCCCTTATGTCTGTTCGCTAGTTTCATCTTTCCCCTTTTCTATTTGTGTGCATCTCGGCCAGAATTTTGGGAAGGAAGTTGATTGACATATATTATAAGCAAATTCTCATTCTGGTGCAATGCGCCCGCACAAACATATAGCATCACATCTAGCATACATGAGTAACAAATCCCAACTACTCTATGAAATTGCAACTATTGCTCATATTTTGTAAATAGAAATGCTACCGGAAAATTAAGGAATTTTAAGTTGCAAATCCTTGAAATTGAATGAATAATTTATCATCTTCAACTTCTATGTTGAAGTTATGATTCCAAATTAAAAGCAAGTAAATTAGGGAAATTTTAGTTCCAAATGAGACCCGTGTAATTGCAAATTCTTAAATCGATTGAGGAATTTATCATCTTAAACTTATGATTGCAAATTAAAAATAAGAGCACTACTTGCAAATTAAAAAGCTTGTAGTTGCAAATGATGGACTTGTTGCAAATTCTTGAAATTGAATGATTAATTTATCCTCATAAACTTGTATGTTAAACTTATGATTTCAAATTAAAAATGAGAACTCAAGAAACTTAGTTACAAATGAGGGCCTTGTAGCTGCAAATTCTTTGAATCGATTGAGTAATCTATCATTTTGAACTTCTATGTAAATTTGTGATTGCAAATTAAAAATGAGAATACTACTTACATATTAGGGGCATTTAAGTTGGAAATGAGGGACTTGCAGTTACAAATCCTTAAAATTGATTAAGTGATTTATCATTTTTAAATTTTTATGTTAAATTTTTTATTTCAAATTAAAAATAAAAACGCTATTTGCAATTGGTGATATAAATGAGGGAGTTGTAAGCCCACCCTAAGTCCCATCCTCCTCTCTCTCTCTCGCTCTCTCTCTCTCATCTTCTATATATATATATATATATCCCAGACTCTCTAAAATTTAAATATTGGGTTGAGTTTAGGTGTTTTTGTTCAAATAAAATATTTATCATTAAGATATTTATAGTATGTAAAGTTTAGCAATATATTTTCAATAATTTAATTTAATTTAATTTTACCTACTTTATTTATTTCTAAAATATGACTTAAAATAAAGTCCTCATAATTTAACCCCACAATACTCACATATTTAAAGGATTTTATAGTGTTATATAAAACACGCACATCATATACATGATAATAATTAAGAATTTTCTATACTTATGAAAATAGTTATTGAAACTTATTAGATGATGCTCCATGGCTAAGTGAATAATGGAATGAATTAAAATATAACTGATAGGCATAATGTTTGTTTACGATAGAGTAGATATTTATTTGGAATTGTATAATGTATTTAAAATTTATGATGTGTTTTTTAATGATTTAAAAAGAGTTTTATTGTTATTTGGATAATTATTTTTTAGGAAAAATATAAATTTTTTATAGTAAAAAAAAATAATGAAAAGATGTGGATTTTGAATTTTTAAAATTTTTAGGAGATGATGATGAGAGCGGGTTTTGCTCACCCTTCCGTAGGTGGTATATGCTATGGGGGATTTCACGAATCAAGGCACTTAAAACTGTGGTTATTGAATCGGTCAAGGCACTTGGTCACGAGTTAGTAGTTCAACTGAGGGTCAAATCGATGGCAAACTGGTCATAATTAAAATATAAGATATCGATACAATAATAATTATAAAAATATAACCACTTAAAAATCTAACAATAATAAAAAATAATAATAAAGAAAAACAATAGAAATGCTAAGCAATAATAGACAAATTAACAACAGCAAATAATGTAGAAATCACTTATTTTGAATTAAAAATATAGAGAAAGAAGAGGCATAACAATCAAAACTATTGACTAAATGACAAAAGATTCACCAAGGGAGATAGAGGGTAGCAACATTACAATAAGTTCTGCTTCAAGCAAGTTTTGCTTCAGGACGAGAGAGAGGACAACCATGAGTAACACAAGTTATGCATCACAATCTAATTGGGTCAGGATGAAAACTGGATCGGTGGAGAGGTCGGGTCATCGGTTTAAAGGTTGACTCAACCGATCCGGTCCGATTTTCCATTCAATGTTGGGAACTGTTTATGAGTAGGGACAATTCACACTTGGCGGATGCAGAAGGCGAGGTCAATGAAGCTGGGAAAAGATTCCCTGCTCTGAAGCAAGAGCGGTTGACTCACTCTCATGGGCATGTTGATGGGGAGGGGCAGATGGTTTCAGAGGCTTCCATGGAACATACAACGTGTTTCCCCCTTAGTTGTCTCCATGGATTTATAAGTAACCTGCCTCACCCGAGGGCCTGATGACAAGTCTTTTTTGAGTCTTTCGAGCGGTTATGTCGTGTTAGTGTTCATGTTTCTGGACAACAAAAACTGATCAAGTGCAAAAGTCTATAATGTGATGTTATATGTGTAGGGACTATTCTGACCTTGTTCGCAGAAAATATGCGTTTCTTTTATGACTTTTTTCTGAGAGGAAAACAAAAATTCTCTGGGGTTCTTCGTATTTACTGTAAGGAAATTGTGAATGAAGACATCAATATTATTCCTTGAAAAGAGAAATAAACGGGTTTTAAAGTAAATCTAACTTTGCACACAACCGTCGACGCAGACAAGTACATGAATATGAGAAATGACTAATTTTGGATTTGGTCTCTCAATTTTTTTTTGGGGGAAGTTGCACATCGTATATACTTGCGCCTGCGTGTCCAATGAGGATCGTGGATTTATCACTCGGTATGCCGATCGGATGAACTCAAGAATGTACTATTGGAATAGTACTGGATAACTCTAACGTCAAACCATGCCAGAATCATCAAACTATGAGGCCTGCAAGTCCTGTTCTAGCCCAAAAGCCCATCGTAGGCCTCACATACAGAGCCCAAAAAGAATGGATAGATTAAATCCCCTCCGTCAACAACTCTATTTGATTGATTCTTTGAAAACATGCTCGAGAGACACGGGATAAGGGATCAGAAAGTAGGATGCCTCGGGTCACTCTGATTACCGCAACCCATTGGCCATTGCTTCCACATTGTTTTCGCACGCGGACGATGACGGGGATAAGATGACACCGTGACACCCTGAACCCCACCATCAACCTCACTCCGGGCCGTGCTGCTCAATTATTCATGCAAGTTTAATTTTATATTCTCTCCATTTTAAATTATAATTTTAAATGAGATTTATTGTTCTAAAATATAAAATATTTTAAGAATATTAATATTTTATTAAATAAACTTATTCCAATACTTCAATTTCTCTCTCTATTTTATGTTAATTAAGTGTAGATTTAAAGTTTTTAAATAAATAGTATTTTTTTTCATGTTTATATTTTTTGTTTTAAAAAAAAAGTTCTTAAATGTATTTAATAAAGTTTAATTTGCCGAGAGAAATGCGATGCACACATACACACGTCTCCATAGCGAATGAAGATTATGTGTGTGAGTTGCTTACACGGAGGCGCTCGGATGAGCAGGCTTGATTCGCTTGACAATTTAAAAGTATCAAACTAGTAACAAGAGAGATCTGAAAATGGAAAGCACATCATTGTGTATGTATGTGCGAAGCCCATTAAGTAGCCATCAAATCAAAAAAATTATGGTGTGGCCCATAAGACCCACTCACATCAACTTGACAAACTCCCACCAGCTACTCCTCTTGTTCCTTCGACTCCATCCACCCCAACATGTTTCTGAAATTCTCTCTCTCTCTCTCTCTCTCTCTGTTTGTTTTTTGGCCAAGAAATTCTCTAGTCAGGTCAGTCTTTTTTTTTTTTTTTTGACCTGAACTCTCGTCAGTCTCAATACATATATAAAATATATAAAGTGTATAATATTATTAATGTTTTGTGAAGCATGATTGATGATTGAAGTGAAAATATTTACAGGAGGGCCCCAGAGAGTCGCATCCATATACCTGGAGCTTCTTGAAAAGGAGGCCACTTCTCACATGGGCACATAGTGACTCTTGCCGGTCGTCCCATCCTTATATCCAGCCTGCTTAACTTTGATAGCATGTCTCCTATCTCACCCTCACTCTTCACCTGGTGTGCATTACATTTGGGTCAACCATGCACCTTGTGTGATTTTTATACCAGATTTTAAATAACAGTTATATCTTTTACCAGTAATCAAATATATAGCAAAACACGACACGAGTCTTGTATCATATCACTCTCGTGAATAGAATGCCTCAATATCACGCATGATGTTACCTACATCCAAAGTAGTTCCGAAGAAGAATTGTTAATTAAATCAGTACATCAGTGAAAAAAGGCTTTAATTGTAGAAGGGAAAAATGAATGAATGGGCAGTGCATTGGGAAACAGCTCGCGCGGTGTTATCGCGCGCCCCCATGGAAACGACACCGTTGGTGGGTCCCAGGAGATGTCAGAGAGAGCAGAGACGGAAGGGGGGCCATGACCGAGACGGTAAAAATAGCAGTGAGAAGACTGAAAGTGAAGTGAAGTTCAAGACTGGACTGTGCAACCCCCATATCTGAGTCTCAGATATGTTGTACACATGAAAAGACGCAGTTTTCTGCCTTTCGCGTCAATCATCATAACAGATGAATATTCATTTTAAAAATTGCTACAAATTAATAAATGAACTGAGAGTTAAGTGAGGGTTCAGAGTAGGGTGCATGTCTCTCCCTGTCAATGCCCCTCTTACCTGTGGCCTGTCTCCTACTAACTCTGT